GAGGCTTTGGGACTAATTAACTTTACAATGAATAAATATTATGACAATTAAATTTTTTTTTACTTTCATTTCTCATGAAAATGAGAATCAGAAAGGACAAAAAGAAAAACCTTCAACCTCAACAGGCAGAATATATAAACCATTTACAAACTCCAAAACCATTCCAGTGTGCCATTGTTGTGAATTCAAACTCTATTTCTAATTCATTCAGCTGTAAAACTAGTGGAGTATTACTGAATTATACTAAATGTGGTTAAAGCAACAAATACCAACACCTACAGTCTGTAGGTGGGTTAAGGAACAGATCAAATCTTTTTCCTCCCCAGCATAGAAAAAGTGGTGAATTACCATGCCCTAGATAATGCAGTGGACAAAGGAAGTCACAATTCACAATACAAATATATAGTGACAGTAAGCAACCAAAGTCCTGCAAAAGAAAAGGCAAAATTCCCAACCTATTTGGAAGATTAAAAAACCTGTAAAAACCACAAATATGTAAAATAGGATATAAAAATGCAACTTAAAATAAATTAAAGACCCAGGAAGATAATTTATAACTTACTAAGAAGAATAAAGAAGAGTTTACTGCTTAGGCTAGTCATTGCATTGAAATGATCATTGTCTTTAGTTCCCACATAATCCATACTTAAACTCTCTTCATTTTTCAATACGTAGGATCTTGCCAATGGAACATTGAGTACACTAAAAGAATCACTTGGTGAAACAGAGACAGGAAGTCCAAGAGAATTTAAAATCATAAATGGCGCTAGATCCCGTATGATGACAGCTGAAGCTCCAGTGGCGGCTTCTGTAAATGCCTATAAAGAAGAATTATTGTAAATAAAATGACATAAAATGACTAAGAGAACACTAATGACCATAAGACAACTAAGTTAACAAAAAACTTCTTATTCAATTAACAAAAAGGGTTAGCTCGGACGACTACACCAACACTTAAGGTTTCAAATTTCTTTCCTTACCTTGGCTAAATTATTTAACATTACAAGGCCGCATTTGGATAACGTAATGTTTAGTTGGTCTTTTGAATGGAAACTGATAACAGTTTTATATTCTGGCACTTTGTAATTTTCTTCTTCAGTATCTGACTCAACAATAGCCATTTTTGCTTTCTTTTTCATCTAAAATGATACATAAATTATAGAAATATAAGGAAATTTGTTCCTAGGAACATACATTACTCACTTAGCAAAGAAAAAAAAAAAAAACAAAAAACTAGACAAGTCCCAGTAATAACATTAGAGACAGCAAGTTTTTTCAATTCCATTCCCTTACTGGAATTACTTGGATATCAGCCAACTAAGGTCTTACAGGACAGGGGCAATATTAGACGAAAAATAGTTCTCATCCTCAGTGATACTAAAATGGCAAGCACAATTCAAAAGGAAAAATAACACACTAAAATTACTAAATGCGTGTGGCATCTGAATCAAAAATAAAAGCACACACTTCGTAGCACATGGGCATTCAGAGCAAGAGAAGTCATTTCGTTTACTGGTTATGGAATAAAGAATAGAAACCCAGGGATTTAGAAAGTCCCAACAACATTGCAGAATAGTGTCCTACAGCTCCTAAAAATCAATACCATCTACGAATTTTTAGGATTCACAGATCCACTGCCACGTATCTTCTGATCTAAAAACCACCAAAGAAGTTCCTTTATCCAGTCCTTTATCTGAAAGATGTACAAAATAAGTACAGTAATCTAATACAAAAAGTTGGACATGCTAAGCTAGTCACCTTTGTTGTTACATTAACTGGCTTTCAACCATTGAAAATCTGTCTGCAGGTGACAAATCATTACTCAGAGGGAAGCCATACTAGAAATTATTCAGTCTCCTGTTTTGAAGCACAATTTCATCCATCTAAAGGCCCTGATTCTTATGATTACATAAATGTATTGTAATATATTTGAAACAAGTAATAGCATACTTTTTTCTATATATATATGCACCCTTCAAAGGACAAAGGAAACACAGGGTAGACAACAACCTACAAGAAGATGCTAGAGGCATTGGACGTGGCAGTTCTGAGCTGGGAACCTGCAGCCAGAAATGCATCCCACCTCTTTCACTGAAGATATTACTTCAGGGAAGTCTCTTAAGCTCTCTAGTCTCAGTTCCTTCACATGTTAAAAAGGAGTTAAAAACTCTAACTTCAGAGGGGTGCTATAAGGGGTCAAGCAAAAGTACACTGTTTAGAACAGTGTCTAGAACACAATAAAAGTTACATAATTATTTGTATTAACATAGGAGGCACTGGCCTTGGGGATGAAAATTACATTCACAGGTCCAACAGGGAAGCACGCGTCAAGGTTCATAATGAGAAAACTTGAACTTTGTTATTAAAATTCAAGTGTTTTGTGTGGTGTGGACATTCTCAATTTTGGAAAAAAAAATTTCAGACTTCTAATGTACCTTGATTCCAAGATTCCATGGTCTAAAATCCTCAGTCTGATCAATTTCTAAAGGCTCAAGCAAAGGCTCCCATACACCAAACATTTCATTGTAATAATGGACCTATAGAGAAAATCAAATTTTGAAATAAGGCATTCTTATACTTTTGAAGGTGATCTTCCCTGCTGTTTCCCACAACGATTTCTTTTGGCTATGTTATTTCTTTTTATGAAAACTGTTCTACATGCCATTTCTTGGTTTCCTGCACACACTCCCTCAGCACTTTCCTCACCTGGCTAACTTCAGAGTCTAGTCTTCACAATTTAATCCACATAAAACTCTTTTAAGCATCTCTCCTTGACTTCCAGACTGGGCCAAAGAGCAAAAACTGTGTCCATTTATCAGGTATTAGTGACATTTTTAAACAGACCTGCCTACCTCCACTGATTTTTTTTTGAAATCTCTTGATGAATAACCTACAATTCAGTAAGTGCTTATTTATTTGAATTTTCAGAACTTCCTGGACATCCTAGATCATATGTTCTCTGCAAAATATACGGAATCTAGCCAGAATTTCAAAATCTGACATCTAGTCAGTCAGTTCTACCTTTATTAGTGTATATTTCTGTATCAACACACAAATAATAAATCAGCTTATAAACCTTCATGTTTATTGATATAAGCTAGAATATCCAATTAGTTTCTACTAGATATAAACTCATAATTAAAACCAAAATATCTTTGGGGATAATTCTCAGTAGATAAATTGTGAAGCAAAATATATGTTGTTTCAAAACAAGCATTTCCTTTATAATTAAAGTACTCTCATAAAAATTTCAGTCACTAAAGATAATGTATTCTATAGAAGTATAAGGTATATTCTTCTAATTCCTATTACTTTTACTTTTTTATTATATTTTGTTTTTAAGAGATAAAGTGCGCAATTGGTGGGAAGGGAGGGAGAGGGGGAGGGGGAGGGAGAGAGAGAGGGAGGGGGAGGGGGAGGGGGGAGAGAGAGAGAGAGAGAGAGAGAGAGAGAGAGAGAAGGAGGGAGGGAGAATCTTAAGTAGGCTTTACACTCAGCATGGAGTCCAGGGCTCAATCTCATGACCCTGGGATCAGAACATGAGTTAAATTCAAGAGTCCGATGCTCAACCATCAACCACCCGGCACCCCACTATTACTCTTTTAGAAGAGATTCAGAAATAATCTATTATCCTTTTAGAGGATAAAAGACATTCCATTCTTAAAAATAAGAATTTTGACTCTATTCAACATTACTAATGTATCACCTTTAAATTGATAAAAATCAATTGAAATATCCAAGTTAACTTTATATTTCAATAAAAGTAATATACGCATAAAGAGCAACTATATCAAGGGCATAAATTTGTGTACTTTCTTTCAAAAGTATTGTGAGCCAACATCATCTTTAAAATAAGCCTAATGTTGGCACAAAAACAGACACATAGACCAATGGAATAGAATAGAAACCCCAGAACTAGACCCACAAACGTATGGCCAACTCATCTTTGACAAAGCAGGAAAGAACATCCAATGGAAAAAAGACAGTCTCTTTAACAAATGGTGCTGGGAGAACTGGACAGCAACATGCAGAAGATTGAAACTAGACCACTTTCTCACACCATTCACAAAAATAAACTCAAAATGGATAAAGGACCTGAATGTGAGACAGGAAACCATCAAAACCCTAGAGGAGAAAGCAGGAAAAGACCTCTCTGACCTCAGCCGTAGCAATCTCTT